CGATTTTCTATGCAGATTCTGACTGTTCTCCGTGAGTGCAGTCGAACCCTGCTACCAAAATAAAAAAATAAAAAAAATGCACCGCTTTTGAGCCCAACCGGAATTCCGGTTGGACAACCTCGGTCTATCCAGCCCGGCTGCAGCAGGCTGTCGAGCATATCTTCTTGGTGTGACGCAAACCCCACTGGGACCTTCCAGATGCAGCGCCTAACAAGGTGATGAAGATAGCATCCACCATAGCCAGGTGAGTACCTCGCCACTCTCCTCCCTAGTCCCCTTCTTCCTCCTCCTCCTACCAGTAGAGCTCCACCATCGTCGAGGTGGAAGCTCCCGGCCTTCTTCCTCCTCCCAGCGCACGGCTACTACCAGTGCTCGTCTTCCTTCAGCGTCCAGACTGCAAATGAGGTAGAGCCCAGCTCAAGCAGCATGTCGCCCATACTTGCATACCGCAAATGAGGTAGAGCCCAGCGCTCTACCTGAAGATATAGCGGCCTACCTGCCTCTTGGGCGGTGACTTCCAGGCCGTGCGGCCTCCAAGCAACCAGTACCTCCTCCCTTTCGGAGGGAAACATCATTGCAGGCTCTGATATCATCCACACAGGCCGTAGACTCAGGCTCCTTGGACTGGTACCCGCCTAGACCTAGCCTACCAACTACTGGGCCTCTAAAAATGCCAACTTTTGTCTTCTTCTGCTCGGCCTCCAGTTCCGGACACACTTACCGCTACTTGAGTGGTACCGGCCTACCTACTAAGAGTGTTTTTCCCGCTGCTCTAACTCTCGTGGGCCACTTCCTGCCACTTGAGTGTTTTCCCCGCTGCAACCCTCAAGTCACTGCCACAGGTAAGGACCGGCGCTTCGGGGCCTCCAAACAAACAAGTGCCCTTGCGGGTCACACACACACTCAGACCGACGAGCACTCAGACAGGCACGCAGACAGGCACGCAGACCAGTGAGCACGCACACACAAAAAGACTTAGAAAACTGAGCAAAACCCGAGAATCTCAGCAAGGCATTCATTCCAGCGGCAAAACTCAAAAATCAGCAGTGTTCTCAGTCTGTGTTTTGACGGGTCATTACAGCACAAAAAATCGCCAAAGTTAGGGTACTTTTTAGTTGCGGGACTGGACCCGCCGATACCAACAGTCGCCGCCCGGCGCCCTTTCGGAAAACCTGGCCCTAACTCACCGGAGTCCGTTTTTTGGGTGTTGGCGGGACTGATCGTTTAAGCCAGTAAGTTTGACGATCATACCTCAAGGCTGTCACCCTTTTATAATGTCACCCTTTTATTTTTATTTTTTTTTAACTCAGGACTTACTTTTGCATTTGCCCCAGCAACAAGAAGGTTCCCAGTGGTCCCGCCGAACGACAAGCTCTCAAACTCCTCCTTGCCCTCTGCAGTCCATTGAAGGCACTGCACAGTCATGATGTGTCACCAAACAATAGCCATGACAAAACAATTACCAGTACTTAGCATTGATATACTTGACATTTAGTCATGAAAAAAAAAATGAAAACATTGCTTTATTTTTCCTCTTCCTTGTTTCGACAATCTTAACAGTGTCACGCAATATTGTCAGAACCTGGGAGAGGGGAGAGGGTTCTGATGGCACCAATATCCAAAAAAAAAAAAAAAAAAAAGCAAAAACGGACACACATGACAACACTATCCTGACACGTACCTGATGATATGTTTTTCCATTTAGAAAAAAAGGGGGGGCGAGGAATAGAGCAAACCATGCTATGGACAAAGGCCACAACCATGCAGGAAGAGCTATACGCCAAATGGATGAATCTCGTCTGAAATGAAACGGTTTTCACCTCTTTGCAGTAGCAGACGCAGACCCCAGGGTTCGATCCCTAGACCTTGCCCTATCTGTGTACAGTACCTGTGTACATCCCGAGAGTTGAACCTGTGACCTGTGTATTCGCAAACAGTTGGTAGGCTGTCATAGGTCCGTAGGTAGCAGGGGTTCGATCTGTAGACCTATAGGATAGAGGTCTTAGCGAAGTCTAGAAGTCCTAGCTGTAGCTTCTAGAAGGTCAGCAAGTGGGCAAGTGGTGAGTCAAGTGGAGGACTAAACTGCAGTGCAATTGCAGTACGACGGTGCTAGGTTAGCAGTGAGTCCCCACTCAGTCAGTGGTAAGGTCCAGTCAGTCCCAGTCCGGTCCAGCAAGTACCACAAGGGACTCTAGCACCATGGGCCGATGGAAGAGGGCAGACCAACGAGTTTCAGAAGTATAAATCAAGAGGCAGCGCCCAGCCATTCATTCATTCCTGCGTGAGCCCTGCGGAAGTGCTGCCACAGCGACTTGTGCAAGGAGGTCTGCAGTGAGCCCGGAGCTGAAGTGGGCGAGAGAGAAGGAGCGTAGCATAGCGATAGAGTAGAGGCAGCCATAGCTGCCATAGCTGTAGTTTAGTGTGAAGTGTGTGTGTGTACGTGTGAGTGTTCAGAGTGACACGTGTGGGATATCCAGGGTGATCCGGTGTATGTGAACAGTGAGTTGTTTGGGCGCTGAGTCGCCATAGCCAGTTGAAAGTGAACTCGTATCTTGATGCCATATCTCTGAGTTTTGAGTGGGCGCATGTCACCAGTTTGCTGCGCTACTGTTTACATGCATGAAAAGTGTGAATGAGAACGAGTCTGATTGCAGAAATCACGAAGACAGAAATTATGCTTGACTCCATTCAATGGATCTGATTAAGTTGCAATAGAACACCTCGTTCAGGTGTAAGCCACCACTACTTCCTGAAAAATCGGTCCGACGACTGCAGCAATTAGCAGAACAACAAAAAGACAAAAAGAAGAAAAAAAAAGACTACGGACATGAGACCATCAATCCAACGGCCCAACTGAAAAAAGGGTGTGCTTCCTACTCACCAGGATAGTTGAAAAGAGGTAGCGGTGGATCTTTCGCAGCCCTCTGCAAACAAGTGCAAGATTGGGCCGCCACTGTTGTTTGTTTTATTTTTCCTTCCAAGGAAAGTTGTTGCTGAGCCCCGTTGCAGATCATGTCCTGACACACCTCTGGAACAGCTTGGAAAGGGGGAAAAAGGTGGGTTTAAGCTTCAAAACCCACCTTTTAAAAACGAACCCATCTTTTAAACCCACCTCCCAAAACCATCCCATTTTTTAAACTCCACCTTGTAGAACCCATCCCATGCCATCCCATCCCATCTTTTGATTCCACCTTTCAAAACCCATCCGATTTTCTTGAACCCACCTCTCAAAAGATAAAACCCATCCCATCTTTTAAATCCACCTTTTAAAACCCATCGCATCTCTAAAATCCTTCCCATCTTTCAAACCCACCTTTTGAACCTGTCCGGTCTTTTGACCCCACCTTCTAAAACCCATCACAAACCCCATCTGTTAAAACTACCTTTTAAAACCCATCCCAGCTTTTAAATCTTATCACTTAAAAACCCATCCCATGCCATCCCATTCCATCTTTTGATCCCAACTTTCAAAAGTAAAACCCATCCGATTTTCAAACCCACCTCTTTAAACCATCACTACCCACGCCGGCCTAAATTCGATTTCCTGACCTTACGGACCGGGTTCTTAGGGGGGGGGGGGGGGGGNGGGGGGGGGGGGGGGGGGGGGGGGGGGGGGGCGGACTGGCAGGCGAAGGCGGGCCTGGTCCAAGGATTTTCAAGCGCCGACTTTGGCGATTTTTCGCGCTCAGAAGAATTGAAGAAGAAATCTGAAAATATGAGATCCTGTAGAATAGATTGTGATCTTTCCAGGAAAAATATCAAAAAAAATGAAAAAAACAATAGACCATGAAATAAATGCCACGCCGTTTCGTCGCATTTTCCAATTTTGCCACTCAACCATGTGTGGACCAACGGGAAACGTACCCCGACTTCCACAATTTTTAGCGCTCAGAAGGATAACTCAACAACTCTGCAAATTGCAGGGCCTGTGGATTTGGTCATTGTCCTACCACAAAAACTATTTAAAATTAAAAAAAAAAAACTATTTTAGACCGTGAAATAAATGCCGCGCCAAATCGTCCCATATTCCATTTTTGCTGCTCTATCACGTGTCCGCCAACGGGAAAGTACCCCGACTTCAGCGATTTTTCACGTCCAATACAATGCCCTAGGAAGTTTGAAAATTGGAGGGTCGGCAGATTTCGTCGTGATCTTTTTCAAAAAAAAAAAATTCAACCGCGAAATAAATCACAGGGGCAATTTGACGCATTTTCCAATTTTGCCACTCTGCCAGTTACCCCCACTGTGCTACCGGTAGCCCTCATGGACCTGTGTTACCAGTCCCCCCTAATTTAGGACGGTGGGGGTAGTGGTGGTTTAAACCCATCCCATCTTTTAAATCCACACATTTTGAAACCCATCCCATCTTTCAAACCCATGTTTTGAAACCCATCCCATCCTTTAAAACCCACCTTTTAAACCCATCACATCTTTTGAAAACCCCATCTTTGAAGACCACATTTTAAAACCCATCCCATCTCTTAGACCCAACTTTTAAAACCCGTACCCATCTTTTAAACCCACCTTGTAAAACCCATCACATCCTTTAAACCCATCATGTGTTTTAAACCCATCAAATCTTTTAAACCCATCCCATCTTCTAAAAGCCCCCATCGTTTCAACCCACGAGACCCATATCTTTTTAAACCCCACCTTTTAGACCCACATCTTTTAGAAACCGAAAGAATCTTTTAAGCCCGTATCCTTGAAAAACCCCTATATCTTTTAGAAACCCGTATCTCTTCTCTTGAACCCCATGTTCTAAGACCCCCATGTTCTAAGACCCCATATTGTAGATTCTTGTAAACTCATATATCTTTTCAAACCCGCATCCTTGAAAACCCCATATCTCTTCTCTTGAACCCCATCTTTTACAAGTTTAAAAATACAACCCAATATTGTTGATGGGCTGCACATCATCACGCACCTGCTGGTTGGACCGCGTGTCCCAAAGGCGTACCGTCCCATCAGAAGCACAGGAAGCAAGCATATGCAGATTTCCGGGGTCCGGGAAGCAGAGGTCGGTGATTGTCCCCTCGTGCCCATGCAAAGTTGATAGGAAGTCTCCAGAGGCATATGTGTAAATCTTGATCTCATGAGTGGATAAGGAGGCGGCCAACAGCGATCCATCCCCACTGACAACACGCAGAGCAAAGCAATGGACAGCAGGGCCAGGAGAGCAAGCACGTCAGATGGACACGAGAATACACGAGAGAAAAAGGTGAAAAAAGAAAGAAAAAGATATGAGAGACAGAGGACAAGAGGATAAAGCATAGAATGCATTCGATAAAAATTCATGGACGGATCGGAGAGACAAAGGTTAACTGAAGCTACAGGGGTAAGAGTAATCATTTATGCTCTCTCTCTCTCTCTCTCTCTCTCTCTCTCTCTCTCTCTCTCTCTCTCCCCCCCCCCCAAGCCCCACCCCTCCAAGCAACTCCAAGACGTCTCAATTCCGCAATGGAGTCCCCAAAACTCAAGAGTGTGGCTCTGCTGCTAAGCAGCCAGTCTTGCTGTTAAGTTCAAAGGATAACCAGGTGGGGGTCCAGCGTTACATTACCCACATCATCTCAAGGCATGGAGCAGAATGCAAATTATTGAGGACTTCTTATCGGGAAATGATTGATTCCCGTGACGGTGACACCCATCGAATGCGGAATCATTTCCAGATGCGATGGGGAATGGGCGTCTTATCTGGAAAAAAAATGATGGAAACTCAGTGGAAGCAGGGGCCCTGGTGTGGTGGGTGGAACGAGGTCTAGGACAGACTCTCTCTCTCTCTCTCTCTCTCTCTCTCTCTCTCTCTCTCTCTCTCTCTCTCTCTCTCTCTCTCTCTCTCTCTCTCAATGAAGTCACTTCCATGTCAGGACAACGCTGAAGCCTCCTCCTCTTGGACAGAGGGAATAGAGGGCCGATTCATCAAGGATAAGGACTCAGTCCGCATTCCCACTGGATCACCAGGACCTGGATCAAAACCTCAACCTGGATCAGAGCTTGTATCAGAACCTGGGCTAGAACCTGAACCTGGATCAGCACCTGGATTAGAACCTGGATCAGAACCTGGGCTAGAACCTGAACCTAGATCAGCACCTCGATTAGAACCTGGATCAGAACATGGATCAGAACATGGATCAGCACCTGGATCAGCACCTGGATCAGAACATGCATCAGCACCTGGATCAGAACCTGGTAGAGGTGAAGGAAAATCGTACATAGAAATAGAGGGAAAAGGTGGCAAGAGAGAGTCAGTCCCATCCATACAAGGGCATCAGGCTGTCCATAAAGGAGGACTCAGTCTGCATTCCGCACGAGATCATCAGAACCTGGTAGAGGTGAAGGAATTTAGCCTCTAAGGGACTGCAAGCCAAGGGCTGCCTCCACTTGCAGTGAGCTGTCAAGCTACCATCTCCGTCCCCGTCACGAATGCATATAAGCTATCTTTCCGTTCTGATGCTGCCACAATTAGTGTGCGTTCTATTGCGGAGAAGACGGTAGGCGGGGGTCTTCTGTTTCTGTGCTATAATAAAGATTACCGTGAAATTCAGAATTTAGTTTTGATGCCCCAAAAAGGGTAAGAATGAAAACATAATGACCTGCGATGGTCTTTTTCGCTTTGAACGATAACTTTTTTCACGATATTTCTTTTCAAGCGAGGCCTTGCAAATCCTGGTCTGGAATCCGAAAAGACAAAACTCTCGACTGCGGTCCACCGAATTTTGCCCCCCCAAATCCGTTTGGACATTTACATACATTCTACTCGTATTTCAATTCCTTACCCCATTTGGCATCTTTCTATAGATAGTAAGCCACAACATTGGAGACTTTCATTCCTCAACAGGCCGTTGTGAGGCAACTGAGGACCTTCGAAAGGGACCCAGTTTCTGCAGATACCCCTTGAAATCGGATCTCAATTTTTGGGCCCCTGATTTCAATTGAGGCCCTTCGAAAGGGATCCAATTTCTGAAGATACCCCTTGAAATCGGATCTCAATTTTTGGGCCCCTCATTTCAATTGAGGCCCTTCGAAAGGGACCCAGTTTCTGCAGATACCCCTTGAAATCGGATCTCAATTCTTGGGCCCCTCATTTCAATTCAGGCCCTTCGAAAGGGATCCAATTTCTGAAGATACCCCTTGAAATCGGATCTCAATTTTTGGGCCGCTCATTTCAATTGAGGCCCTTCGAAAGGGATCCAATTTCTGCAGATACCCCTTGAAATCGGATCTCAATTTTTGAGGGATCCAGTCAGACGGCCTGACTTGATGGGCCGCTGATCTCCATTGGAATTTTGATGCGATTTTTTCTGCACATAATAGGCCAGCTGCCGCCTTCCCCCCGAACGAACGCACCCTTGTCATGACTGTATCGGACAGGAAAAATAGCTTCTATACATTCATCATCAACGTGCATTGTATTGGAAGGGGGAGGGGGAGGGGGGGAGACCGAAGTATTCTCCAGATTCCTCTGGGAATGAGTTTGTGTAGTCAGAAGCAGAGCTTTAGGGGCAGGCGTCGCTGGTGCCATGCATGCTCATGCTTGGAAAGAATGAACTCGGCTGTATTATCGCCTAGGTTCATGCTTTCCTGGAATGAATATGGTCATGCATAGACCCGTGGGGCCTTCTTCTCGGCGGACCATCCACCGGTCAGGGGGAACCCTGGACGGCGGAGATACACCGGGTTGTTTTCGTTAAAAAAATAATAATAAATTATTAATAATAATAATGTAAAATAATTAATCCGAGCAAGCAGGGCCTCGCCACAGGTTACATCGGAATTTAGACCACGAAATAGGCTGCAGCACTCCAGCCTCAACACGAAATCGGGATCCGACTCAAGCTCGGACATCACGATATAATTCTGTATAATCATAATAAGGACCTCGCTTCACCACTCACCAAATGAGAAAACCGGCGAGTGCACCTTGCCACATTCTATGGCAAGATGCCCTCGCTGTTTGCACATTTCGGTTTCGAGTCACTCGAAACCAATCTGGAGCACAAAGCGATCCACCTCGGCTACCAATCGCGAGTGCATCTTGCCATAGAAGTCGGCAAGATGCATCACCCTTTTCATGCCCTCCGATTTCAGCTCCAGGACAAAGGGAAAGACCATGTGCCTACCAAAACTCATCCCAACTTTATGACAGCCTTTTCTTCTCTCTCTCTCTCTCTCTCTCTCTCTCTCTCTCTCTCTCTCTCTCTCTCTCTCTCTCTCTCTCTCTCTCTCTCTCTCTCTGTGTGTGT